TCATGTTGGGATGACTGTTGTTGTTGTTTTTTTTTACTGTACGTATGCTATGCCTCTCTGCAGTATGCACTGGTTCGCAAGGTTTCACTACTTAAATTCACAGGTTCACCTTCTAGTCACCCTGGCACTTTGCCTGTCCTCTGATGGTGTATATATTTATATTGTGGAACGTTCGGGGCTTGAACTCCAGCCTCAAGCGCTCCCTAGTGTTCGATTCCCTCTTTAAACACAAGCCCCATGTGGTTTGTCTGCAAGAAACGCACCTGCTGGGCTCCAAGGTCTGGACATTCTCCATACCGTCACTACTGCTGCCTTGAGTATGCCTACTGCCCCCTTGATGCTCATGGGTGACTTCAACCTGGCCCCTAATCCCAATATTAAGTTCACCGACTGGGTCCAGGGAATTGGGCTTCTTGATGTGTGGAGATGGAAGTGGCCGGACACAAGGGCCTACTCATGCCATTCTGCTACACATATTGACTTGGCGTTTGTGACCCCTACAATTCTTCCGTGGATTTCGAGGGGGCGCTTTCTCCCTCGGGGGATCTCGGATCATGCTCCCCTGTTAGTGGAGCTCCGATGGGGGCATTCCTTCTCTTCCAGAGTGTGGAGAATGAACTCCCATTGGCTATCTGATCCCTCTGTGGAGACTGCTTGCTCTCAGGCTATCGGTCACTACTGGAGTGACAATTCCCCTGTGACTTCCTCCTCTCTTAAATGGGAAGCCTTTAAACCCACGCTCCGAGGAGCATTCATGGCAGCTACTGGGGCAGTCCGTAGGCATAAAGGGGAGGTTGCACTGGCACTGGAGTGTGATATGGGAGAGGCTGAGGCCACCTATGTTCTGGACCCCACTCCCTCAAACTACAGTGATTGGATGGGGAAGAAGCGTAAACATGACTTGTTCCAATTGGAACGCACCAAAAAGAAAATGCTACATACTCAGCAAAAAATCTTTGAGTTTGGGAACAAGGCAGGTAGATTATTGGCATACTTTACTAAACCTGACTTCAACCCTACTTCCATCCCACGCATTGTTTTGTCCTCAGGGACAATGGTCACTGATACTCGGGACATAATGGAAGCATTTCTGTCCTTTTATAGGGATTTATACTCCTCCAGAGCCCACTACACGGACGCGGAGCTGGGGGATTATCTGTCTCAGGTCTCCCTCCCCTGCCTCTCCCCTCAAGCAAGGGAAGAATTGGACTAGCCGCTCACTACCGAGGAGATTGAGTTGGCGGTTTCAGTTTCCCACTAGAAAGACCCCAGGCCTTGATGGGTTCCCTGTAGAATGGTACGCCTCCTATATGGAGGAATTGGGACCACATTAATTGGACACTTATAATGAGGCATTTGATCTGGGTATACTCCCCCCGTCCATGAGAGAAGCTCTTATAGTCCTGATTTTAAAACCGGGCAAGGACCCGACTAAGTGTGACTCATACCGACCCATTTCTTAAATAATGTTGATGCAAAATTCCTAGCCAATATTCTAGCAATACGCATAAATAAGCACGTTCTGTCCCTTATTGGCAGGGATCAGGCGGGATTTATGCCAGGCCGTTCCACTAGGATGTACATACGCAGACTTTTCACCGACCTCCAATACTCTCATCCCATGACTGAAGGTAGAGCATTCATTTCACTTGATACACAAAAAGCCTTTGACAGTGTTGAGTGGCCATATCTACTTAAAGTATTAGAAGCATACGGGTTTGGCTCCCACATGATCCTTTGGATAGAGATTCTGTATAACACCCCAGTGGCCAGATTGCGCATCAACAGACAAGTGTCTGACCCGTTTAGTATCTTCCGGGGTACAAGACAGGGTTGTCCCCTCTCCCCTATCCTCTTTGCCCTGGCAATTGAGCCTCTGGCGATTAGGGTACGGGAGTCTCTCTCTATACAGGGCTTGAGGATACGTGACCTGGAGGAGCGAATTTCCCTGTATGCTGATGATACGCTGATTTATCTAGCTGATCCGAATGACTCCCTATGTCACCTCCTCCAGCTACTGGACTTATTTGGAACCTTTTCAGGGTTCAGGGTTAATTGGGACAAGTCTGTTCTTTTTCCCCTGGATGACGCTACAGTGGCGAACATTCACCCTATGTCCACGCTAAGGGTTGCAAATTAATTTAAATATTTGGGTGTTAAAAGTCCAGCTGCCCCTCTCCTCCTATATTGCTAATAACTTGACACCGACTATTGACTCTCTTCATTTGAAGACTAAACAGTGGATGGACTTACCACTGGACCTTATGGTAAGAGTCAATATCATTAAAATGAACTTCCTCCCCAAGTTGCTGTATATCCTAGCGAATGCCCCTTGCGATGTCCCAAAAAGTTATTTCCGTAAAATTGACTCTATTTCCACTGTATTTCTGTGGAGGGGGTCGTACCCCTAGGGTGGCCTTGGAGGTGCTGCAGCTCCCTTGCTCGATGGCGGGCCTGGCCTTTCCTAACTTTCATATGTACTACCTCGCATCCCAACTAGTGGTGGTTCATGACTGGCTTGTCCCCCAGATTGGGAACGCCTGCACGGCAACTGAAGCAGCCATACTAACCTCCTTTTGAATCCCTTCAAAATGTTGTCTATAGGGGGGTCAATCACAACCAAAAGCTCCAAGGGGCAGTCGTGATTTCTGTGACTGTCCGTATTCTAAGATATGTTATCAATCAATTATCACTATCCCATTGGTACCATTCTCCTAACTCCCCCTTATGGGGCAATCCCGCCCTCCCAGAGCTGCAGCGCCTACCATCGGCCACCTTCTGGTCCTCAAAAGGCATTAAATCTCTGTCTCACTTGTTTCAAAATGGGGTGATGCCTGATTTCCCGCAGCTTAGGAGGGAGCTGAAGCTCTCCCCGTGTGATTTTTTTTGCCTACTTTCAACTCCTACACGTGATTCAAACCCAATTTGGGTCAACCGCCTTTACACCAACTCAGTCACCCCTGGAGGAGCTGCTACGAAGAGATGACCCAGCAAAATTGATCTCTACTTATTATAGGGAGCTTATGTCCTATAGATCCGGTAGGTTTGCCAGCCGCAAACAGAGGTGGCGGTCGATCCTCCCGGATCTGGTGGAGGATGATTGGGGAGACTTTGAGGGTAGCTACATGTCATCTGTGATAGCCTCTAAAGACAAATTGATCCAAATGAAATTCTTCTACCAGGTTTACTACTCTCCCACTCTTCTACATAGACTCGACCTTCACCCGACTTCGTGTTGTTTTAAGCGATGCGGGCGGGAGGCTGACTTTCTATTGAATCTTGTATTGAATCTTGACTATTGAATCTTGTAACCAAATACTTGTGTAACCTTGTAATCTTATGTTTTTCTGATCTGTGAAGAGGATGTAGATACTGCATAATTGCCTGGGTTATGTTGACCCAATTGGTGTATATATGTAGGTTGTTTGTTATTTTTTTGTGTCTCTGACACTTGGAAAACTCAATAAAAAGCATCTTTAAAAAAAAAAAAGTGCACTTATCCTTTAAAGCAGGGGTAGCCAAACTCTGGCCCTCCAGCTGTGGTGGAACTACAAATCCCATGAGGCATTGCAAGATTCTCACAGCCACAGCTTCATGGGATTTGTAGTTTCACCACAGCTGGAGAGCCAGAGTTTGGCTACCCCTGCTTTAAAGCAAATCTCTTTAATGACAAAGCACAGGTTCACTTAAGAATTTTTCTGTAAAAGGATCTCTAAAAACAAGCGTTGCAACAGGAGACAGATTTATTTTCGGAACAAAATACATTGTTGCAAATAACTTTATCCTTGATTTTATTTTTTTCTAAAACTTACAATAAATACCTTCAACAAAATACCTGGATTACTCTAAGGTCACTGAACACTGCTGTAAAATGCAAATTATTTTAAAGCTAAAAAGTAAATCAAAAAAGACAAAAACACTACATATCTACACTCTTCACATATATTCTACAATAATCTTGCTCATTAACCAAGCATTTTAGTTAGAGGGGTCAGATGGGTCACATATGTAAACATTGCTATGGTGATGTACACACAAATTTACCTTAAGGTTGGCCATGGATGTCTCCCCAGGAGGGATGGGTTAGGGTCTGCCCATACTCTGCAACGTGGGACCTGCTGCTGTTTCTATACGAATCCTTCAATGGACTTTCTTTCCCCCTTCTTAATAGAAAAGGTGAGACCTGTCCCATAGATTTTGCAACTGCCTTCCTAATCGCCCTCTAATCAGTCTAATGATGCGCATTGTATTGGGCATTAGTATCAGAGACGGGACTGGGATATCGATAGCAACCCAAAAGATTCATATACATGAGCATTTGTTAAGCTGGCGGGCTGAACAAAAAAATAGATCAGATTCCTTCACCAACGAGCATTGATCGAGGAATCCCTCGCAGTCCTCACTGCATTGTGACAGTGACCACCAGCCATTGCCAGAATACCTGAACAGAGCTGGCAGCTCGTATGAAGACCACCACCAGCTGATCAAGGGATGGTGGCTGAAGGGGTGCCGACAGCGGCTCCCACTGTGCAAATTTCGACCAGTTCATCAAGAACTTTGCACAATGTATGGCCACCTTAAGATGTAAAAATTACACCAAAATAGACCTAAAGTACAGCAATGGTCTTATATATTCGCTGTGATATTGTATTCACTACTTTACTATATTTTCTATATCTTAAGCTTGTATCTGCATCTTTCATATAAACTCCTTGCTGCACTTTGTGCTTTTAAAGCAAGTAAATGCATAAACATAGTTGTGCATTTAATACATTCACCAGTTAAAAATGAACAAAACATGCATCCTACAGTTCACAGTGGGGGGAATTTATCAAAACTGGAGCAGGCAGAAACTGGAGCAGTTGCCCATGGCAACAAATCAGCATCTCTCTTCAGTTTCCTCAGTTGCGATTTGAAAATGAGAGATAGAAGCTGATTGGTTGCAGTGCAAATCTGCTCCAGTTTTGATAAATTCCCCCAAAAGTGTTTACCCTCTCATCTCCACCCAATTGCTAAAACCAAGTGATGAAGAAGCCCAGCACAACCACTTACTTCTATAGTCTGCTCTACTTGAGAAGAGAGTCTACACCAAATGAATTCACCATTAAGTTGAAAGGGAAAATCTTCTGATGACCATTAGGAGAGACAACCAGAGGAAGAAGGTTGGTCATAGTAACTTGGATGCAATTAATAAATAAATGTGTATCTCACCTAACCCCTCTATTCAAAATACTTAGATGTTCTGTAACAGATCTAACAGAATTAATATCAGAATCACTAATGTGCAACAATCAAATGCAGTTTTATGATTTCACATAAATTAAATTAAAAGGTTTATAACATTAGAGGAAGTCTGCAATAAAATGCATGGATGTGCATTATATAAGAGGCAGTGTAGAGAACAAGAGCATTCCACGATAGACCCAGAAAAACTGCCTTCATTAAACAGTGCTTTTCAGCTAGACGATGAACGGTTCCAGGCAGCAGCCTGCAGTAGTATTTCCTTTGTGTAAAAAAGTCAGAATAAATTACAACAGATCTGGCAGTATAAGGCCAGGAGGTTTGGGCTCCACGCAGTTAATCCAGAAGTTCGCACAGCTGGCATGATATTGGTGGCCTCCATAAGAAAGTTTAAAATGATCATTGTCCGAGTTAAATGCCTGGGAAAATAAAACACAATTTAGAAACAATAGATCTAGGCCAAAGTAAAGAGAGTAGGTTCCGTAAACACATATTTTAGGTCATTATAAATAGGTTTTCACTAATGCAACTTTCAGATTTAAAATTTTTACAATTTTTAAATGCTTGCTTTCCATATTTTTGTTACATTAAAGTGACGCTAAAATCAGGAGTTAAATCTTAAAAATGCATTCAAGTAACTTAACGATTAAAAACAATCTAGCTTATTTGTGTATTACTCAGCTGTAGATCATCAAATCATCTCCGATGACGCGCCAACGCCATCTTTCCTTCAGGAGTGTGGCTACTTCTATTCCCCATGGTCCCTTTGTGTGTTGTAAAGTAGCAACCGCGCCAAGCCCATGCCCATGACGGACTACAATCTCAGGTTTAGTTTACCAATTTGTATTGAGATTGTAGTCCATCGCAGGAGTGAGCTGGGAGTGGTGGCTACTTTACAACACACACAGGGACCATGGGGAACAAATGTAGCCACCCTCCAGAAGGAAGGACAGTGGCCGCACTAACTATTATCTTCTCCTGATCAGCCCGTGTGAAAGGGGCCTTAAGGATCCACACTAGGAACAACACTGGTGGAAACAACAGGCTGATCCGCTAGCTTCAAAGTGGTACATAATACATGAATTGCAGCCTGAACAGTCACTTCAGTTTGGGAGTGATGGCAGAAGACTGACTCCATGGAGAAAGGTTTGTCCAGCAGAGACTGGGGAGACATGGAATGAGAGTTTTAAAGGTGTGAAAAGGTTGATGGCTGAAAGGCCGTGGACAGTTCAGATACAGAATGTGGAAGGAAGGTGTTAACCCTTTTCGCAGTAGGAACTAGCAGGAAGCAGGTAAATTAAAGGTGTCTGGAGATCCAGCAATGAGCTCCCGGTGTCCAGCATGCAGTGCCTACTCACTGAGTGAGTCTTTAGACACAGGACAAGCGCTGAGGCAATGCCAACAGCTCTAGACCTGGATAGTGCTACACAGCTAAACAGTTACCAGATGTGGTCCAGAAAGTGCTTTAAGTTTAACCCAGTGCCTAAGCGTCATTTCCAGACTAGCATCGCAACATGCAGTCCAGCGGGTCGTCAAGCTAAAAAAAAGCTGCTCTAGATAACTGCTATTGTAGATACCAGCTCTAGCAGCAATGTGTAGAAGAAAAAATGTTAAAGGAAAATAGTTCCTAGTAAAAAACAAGTTAATCTTTTCTCAGCAGAAAAGACATCCATCCTCCTAACACACTAGCAAAAAACTGAAGCATTCTGAAAGTAGGAGAGGTTATCCTGGGCTAGCATACAATTTAATTTTGTTTGCAGTATGCAATCCTCTTGTAGGCGGCAGTATAACCCGAAGGTTACAGTATTCCTGTGGCCCTCAGTAAACAAGGTTTTTAAAATGAATGCACACGGTAAACAATATTTAAATCAAGTTAATTTCTTTTGCACACATACTTAAAAAATAATTGAAAAAGACCACAAATTCCATTTAAAAGTATTAACTAGACTGGTTAATAAACACACAGGTGCTATCAGCCGTGTAAATACCTAACAGCCAAAATCTGCAGTCAGGAATCCCTCCATGGGTAAAATAAACAGACCTAAGACATAGCTGCATCACTCATTTAGAGATACTGTAACTTCCATCTCAAAACAACTGAAGTAGTAGTACAGCTTACTGCTATGTACAGTGGACTTTGCACCAATTCCACACATTAAGTAATTACCAACAAATATGACTATTTGCTAAACAACAACAGAGTTAGTATTTTAACCATAATGATCAAGTTTCTGTAAAAAGAAAAGCTAAAGGTTACATGCTAATGGCAAATATTTATAATGAATGTTTCAAACATGTAAAGAAATAAAGATATTTAAAGGAGAACTATGGGGTTAGGGCTTTTCCCCATAGTTCTCCTAAGGGTCACAGGAGAACACAAACTAGCGTCCTCCCGTGACCCAAAGCTCAGTATACCGCTAGCTACAGCTCGCGATATACTGAGACGCCGCTGCCAGGACAGATCCCAACAATACTGTCTGGATCCACTCAGCTGCGGGATTGACAGCTGGCTCTGCCTATCCAGAGGGGAGGGGGGAATCCCTGCCACGGCTCTCTGCAAGGATAGACCGAGAAGTGAGCGAGCGACAATATGTGTTCGTTCACTTCCCGATCTACTGAGCCGACCTGTGACAGTTTCGTTGTCACAGGTCGGCTCAGATTACGAGGCTGAGTAAAAATCACTCGCCTCATAATTCTCCTTTAAGTTATTTTATGCCAACCACTGGATCAGGGTAAATTCATTTTAGTAGTAATCCATTTGTAGTGTTCTTCTTTAGCATTACTAGAAAACATCTTCTCCCACCCACCGTCTATACAAACCTACTAGTCACTTGCCCAGCTGCAGCACATTTTTTGGGGGACACTAAACCTGTTTTTGTTGCTGCTGATAAACTAAGGATGCACAGATACCAAGTACCATAGTTGGTACATGTACAGATACTTTTCCAGCTACTAGACTAAAGAAAAACTCAAGTTAGGAGGCAGCTATCATTTTTTAAGGAGCACACGGAGCTCCTGGGATTTGTACATCTCTGTTTTAATGTATGAATTTTGTTTATTGTCATGTGACAGTTTAAAAAAAAAAAAAAAACAATACAGACAAATTATTTCAGGACAGTGGTGCAGCGCCAGGGCCCAGTCTCAGCTGCAACCCTGGGCGTTCTCGTGATAATGCTAAGTATCAGCACTGATATCTGTGCATCTCTAGTTGAAACCCATCCCCAGTCTATTCACATTTTTTTTTTTTAAGTTTTCTAATTAGCTATTCTAAGGATAAGCGAGTTGTTTCAAGGAAATGTATAGTGGTTTTGTGCATATTTTCTTTATTACGTGCAGGGCTAAAAAGAAAAAGGTTTTCTTTTCAGCAACGCAAATATGAAATAGTACATATGAAAATGATGTATTCTTATGTTTAGCCAGTAGGTGGAGCTTTGGGCTCCTTTTCATATGTGTTCCCTTAGGTTCTGATGAAGTTGAAATTTACACCCGTGAATGTGTAAGAGCAGTGAAGCTGTATGATTTAATCCAATTCCTTCTCCTGTTAGAGGGAGTTATTTGCATAAAGTTACCTGGGAGCATTGCCTTATAGATCCCTACATGTCAGTGAAGTCAAATATTGGGTCACCTCACATGCTGACTTCCAAAAGGGAATGTACTTTTTAAATTCTTTTATCCATTCAGAAGGGAATTAGTTGCATCCATTTCCCATAAGTGTTGCCCAAAATCTTACTACTCTAAACTACAGTGAAGTTACAAATTGTAGCACAACAGATTTGTGCATAAAAATAAGTAGTTTTTTATAGGACCTATTCATACAAATGTAATACAATTGCAGTGCATTGGGTAAGAGTACTGCATGCTTTATTGCTGGTGCATTAACCTACATATTGCCATTCAAATCACTTTATTTCTTTTTATTTGGAAAATAAAAAAGAATTCATGCAAAATAAAATCAGTGCACACGATGCATGTTTTTGTTGTAAATGCAGTCTAAAGATGTGTGCACAGTTTTTTGTAGATTAGAAAAAGTGATCACGTTAATCAAGAAATGCACACAGAGAGATGAGATGTATTTTTTGCATAGGTGTAAATAAAGCCTATGTACTTATAAATCCAGCCAAAACTTTTCTACAGTTTTGGACAAAGTGGGGAAGGGTTGAAACGTTTGTTTTTTATTGCCGTTTGTGTCCCTGCAGGGGAGATCCCTCATTATTTATCATAGTAAACATTGTCGCCAGGACAGAAAATGAGGAAAATCCTATAGATCCATCTGAACAGGGTTATCAACAGGGACAATAGTGGGACTTCCCCTCATTTTGGGGAGATTTCAACTTATCTCATGTTACTTCTTTACAAAAGTAAAGAGAAGTTCCCCCAATAGGGATGCAGCCAGCAATAAAAACTCTCTCTTGTCTGCACCACCCATAACTAAATATTTTAGATAAGCAAGCATGCTAATCCATAAAAGCATTATGATATTTTATTTTAAAATTATTTTTTATTATACTACTAATACTTTAAGATAATGCAAATTACTGCTAATAATACTATTATTTTTATTATATATTACATTGTTATATTTTATAGCATATTGAAGAGAGTTATTAAGGCACCTGGCCCTTGATTGACATATTCGCTCTAGAAGACACAGTATAAGAAATTAGCTGCTTTCAATTCTGTTTAGCCACTAGGCCCAGACTGGCCATCGGGCATACCAGGCACATGCACAGTTTGCCTACCCGAGCCGGGCCAGGCCGGTCACCCTGTCCCCTCAGCTCCCCACACACAGCCCACCACGACCCACACCACCTGTGCGCAGTGACAAAGGCTGCCAGCTCACTGCCATCCTGTGCCCCTATATGCTGGGCAATCTAGTCCCCCCGCTGTGCCTGCATGTGGATTTAGCACATTCAGCGAGCCTGTCACCACCTGTATTGCGATAGTGCGGGGCCAGCAGGGGGTCATATGATTGTGCTGCTCGGTCTAAAATGCCCGGGCCTATTTTTTTGTCCCAGTCCAGACCCTGTCAGCCACAGTAAATTAATGTAAATTAAATGTCAACCACCCAACAGGCTATACTAGTTAATGGATTTATACATTTCAATTACTTTTCATTGAAGACTTAGTTATCTGGTGAGTCACAGCTGCAACTTAATACCGATTTTCAATAAAAAAAATAAAATACAATTCAGAGTCTAATCCTTTTGTAAGCAGGGAACAGGTTAAGTAAACTGCAGCACAGTGTACTATAAAATTGTGGCTACATGTACAGTAGTATGCCTTGTCTTCTATGTTAGTCTGTTCACAGGAGCAGTATAATTTTAGAAAATCAGAAAATTACCTTTATGCTTACCTTACTTCGGGAGTCTACATTTAGCAAGCACACACCACATGCCAACTCGTGAGCATTCTTTATTCCTGGTCGCAGCATACAGGAAGCAAAATCCAGTGCACTTTCATCAGGCTGCAGAAAAAGACATGTACAGTAAATACTTTGTACAATATGGAGCCCTGGTTTGGGTACATCATTTAGAATGCTGAGTGTTACAATGTATTGACATAGAAAGGCCCAATGTTCATTGTCTTGTCAGTAGTATTTGTACACCACGGGCTCAAATATACCCATATGCCCGCTCCCACTTTCTAACTTTTTGTGTGTTTTGGCTGGATCCACTAGCCAATTTTCCCTGGAGAAGCGGACAATGTGTGTTGCAGCGGACAAGGACAATCTGTGTTGCAGCTATGTTGGTCAACTAGAGACACTGTCCCACCTCCTTAGAACAACACAATTTAAAGTTGTGGCTGATGAGTTTGTTAGTAGAGTGCCAAGTTCCCCCCTTTCCTAAAGAGCAGCAGACTGGTTGCTGTTAATAAGGCAATATTACTATCCGAGCTGCTCACTATCCTGATCTAGGATCCAAGCCATTTTTCTGTGCAATGATCTAGGGCAACTGCAATGTGGCAGCAACCGGTGATTAAAGAAAGATAAATGTGGTAAATATCTAAATTTATTTTGGTAAAATAAAAAAGTGTTAGATATATATATATATACACACACACACACACACACACACACACACACACACACACACACACACACACACACACATATACATACACACACACACATTTTAATATATATTTATTTGTGATAGGTTTTCTTTAAGATCTGGCTGTGTCTATTCTGTGAAAATTTGTAGCACGAGAAAATATACAGCAATTAAACTTGAAAGGCAAAATAAGGAAATCTATGACTAGCATTTCAGATCTATTTATAATCTTGCTTACTTCAAAATCATTAAACCTTTGCACAGCTCGGTCATGGAATTTCACATTACATTTTGCCTTTTTTCCCCTAAAAAATATTTAACTAGGATAGAGTAATATTTAATGGAAAACCTTACCATTAGAGAGGCTAGTGACATGAATCCTATTAAGTTATTCCAGAGTTTGTCAATGTCCTTAAGTAAGTTCTGCAGTTTCTCACTGCACACTGCAGTGGACTTTATACCCAATTCTACTCGCTTGGTCACTCTGTACACCTCGATGACACCTGCACAAAATAAAATCACAATGGCATTACCTAGATGTGGACATTTTTTTTTTTTTTTTACAGACAACACGCAATAGCACTCAACTTGGTTAGTAGAAGGCATAGTAATCAAAAACTATTGAGCAAATAAATGCATTGTGATAGTTTGATAAATGTGGTTTTATGTTTTAAAGGTCAGGCAATAGTATATTGTCAGTGCGATTTTACCCACTTGAGTCCCCAGGCCTTTTTCTCCCTAAACTTCTTTGAGTCCTGGAGCATTTTTGTTTTGTTTTTTCCTGGCAATGTCTCAGTTTTGCACATTATGCCCTCACATATTATACATTGTTTTGTTTCTGATTACATTGTCTTTTCCAATTATAATGACAACAGAAACTACCCAAATGACCCTGATCAAAAGTTTACATACCCTGGTGATTTTGGCCTGCTAATATGCACACAGGTTGACACAAAGGGGTGTGAATGGCTATTAAAAAGGGAACCATCCTCACCTGTGATCTGTTTGCATGTAATCAGTGTGTGTGTGTGTATAAAAGGCCAATGAGTTTCTGGTCTCCTGACAGAGCCTTGCATCCTTCATCCAGTGCTACACTGACGTGTCTGGATTCTGAGTCATGGGGAAAGCAAAAGAATTGTCAAAAGGACCTGCGGTAAAAGGTAGTTGAACTGTATAGAACAGGAAAGGGATATAAAAAGATATCCAAGCAATTGAGAATGCCAATCAGCAGTGTTCAAACTCTAATCAAGAAGTGGAACATGAGGGGTTCTGTTGAAACCAAACCACGGTCAGGTAGACCAACTAAACTGTCAGTCACAACTGCCAGGAAAATTGTTCGGGATGCAAAGAAAAACCCACAAATAACTTCAGGTGAAATAAAGGACACTCTGAAAACATGTGGTGTGGCTGCTGCAAGATGCACAATATGGAGGCACTTGAAGAAAGATGGGCTGCATGGTCGAGTTGCCAGAAGAAAGCCATTACTAAGCAAATGCCACAAAGTATCCCGCTTACAATACGCCAAACAGCACAAGTCTCATAAAAAAACAAAAACAAACTTATAGCCACATAACAGCAAAATATTTTCTAAGTTACTGAATCCATACCCAATAAATACTCCATTCCATGTGCAGACCGGATAACTTCTGTACAGACTGCTGAACTGCTAATTCCATTGAGAGCATCATTTGCCTTTTTAACGACCTGAAGTAACGGAGAATGTGTTTAAATACACTTGTATATCTCTCTCAATAAAACCAATCTGTCACATGTCTGTATATTCTAGGTCACAGCTGGAGAACTATTTTAGGAGTTCACACGGTTAGTGAGAATCTGAAAAGCGTATTTACTGGAAAAAGCTGTAAAATGATTGTTATTTTCAGCAATGAATACACGTGAAACCTGAAAATAACTACAGTTATGCAGGAGTGTGTAAATCTAAATAAACAAAAATGTAAAAAAATTACTTGTCCAATGACTAAAGCGGGGGACCAATCTACCTGTCCCTCATGACAATCTACTCGTCGTGATACAAAAAAGATAGTTTTAACCAAAATCGCATTTAACCGTATTAAGCGCTTCTCATTGGTCAGCACGGTCAGGCGACTGTGCTCACCAACTAGTGCTCGCAATGTGTGAGCGCGAAATTCAAAATCCATAGTGCAGGGCTCCGCTGGATTGCAGTATGGGGTACAGATAGTGCAACCATACCAGCGGAAGGGGAAGGACCATTTGCACAAAGGTTAGTATAGCAGGGGGGAGAAGGGGCCAGATTTGAGCGGGTAATTCAATTTTCCCAAATTACTTGGGAAAGTGAACATACCCTTTAATGCACATTGTGCGTGTTTGAGAGCACTGCAGTCCAGCTACTACAATATGGCACACAGTGGCATGGGGGCAGCGGGGCTTGTTTTAATTTTTTTAAATTTTTTTACTTATTTTATATTTTTCTTTATCACTTTTTTTCATTTTTATTTTTTTTATTTAAATAAAAGATAAAGAAATTGTTGTTTTAATTGATTTAGCATTGAAACTTGAGTATATTAACGTGATATACCTTCTGTATTATTGAATTAAGGGTTGTACTGTCCCTTTCTGCCTGTAATTGTTTTTTCTATCTCTAGCATGATTTAGTGCCTTATTAGGGGTGGGGTGATTATACACAATAGGTTTTTTCCCTCCTTTTTATATACAACACTCTATAAACTATTTTTATTTTCATAATGTTTCTTCCATAGCTTTACCACGTAAAATGACATGTATAAAAACTGTGGATGAGTCATTAGTGTGAACATCTTTCATTTTATGTACTTACATTACCCTAGGGCTGGGAACTAGAGTAGGGAAAAAGACTGTTTGTACCTCAGTTTGAGGAAGTGTCGTTTCCCACAGAGAGGAAAAGGGATGGGCAACTTGAGCATAACTTTGTATATTTCCTTTATGGAGGACATCCTTTTACAGTATGTCTGGAGATGGATAGTCAAAGCAATGTGCTTATGTATTTCTTCCTTTCTATGTTGATTAGCTACCTCTGACACAGATATATTTGACAAAAAGAGTGTGACACTGTGAACGTACTTAACAGACATGGTGTTCTGAGCAACCATCTGTTAAGGAATCAGACATGTGAGTGGATTGTTCCCTTGAGTGACAAGCTCTGAGGCTGAGATAAATCTAAAAGCAGGATGTATAAACTTCTGCTTAGTTAAAATATAAAAAATTATATTTGACACAGAATATGGGAAAACAGTTATATCGTCAAATACAAAACGATTGCAGCATTTGTCTCTAGAACACCTGAAGAAAAGCTGGTATAAGTTTTAAATAAAAAGTTACATTTTTACAGTATACTATGTTTAGAAAATGCTTAATTATTCTTTTAACATCTCAGAACGTCTAGGAGCCTTGGCACACATGCTGTCATGCACTGTGGTTCCCGTCACTGACCCCTTACTTCGCTACAAGTTACAGTATTGACATCAGGGTTGGTGAGTGGAACCACAGAACGTGGTAGAGGACCAGGAGAATGGAACTACCAGAAGTGTTGTTTTCTGAAGAGTCTTCAAGGGACATTTTCTCAGCAATAAAGCAGTGACTTGCAGAGTGGGTAGCAGAAAAGACATTATATTTCTTCTTTATAGGGGGCACAACGTTCATAGTTTTTATTTCAACAACACCTCACTTTAACCGCTTAGTAACACAGCTTCAGAAAATGTTTTTGTTTCTAGGGACCAGAGCAATTTTGCCATTTGTGCCATGTCTTTGTTTAACCGTAATTTCCATCTTCCTAATGCATTGCACCTGCACTGCACCCAAAAATGGGCTTTAATTTGATTTGACAAATGCATATATAAACTCTTATTTTATTTATAAAAAATAATGCAGAAAATTTTTTTTCCACAGTTTTGGCAATATGTGCACATAATTAGTATAGCGAATAGAAAGTAATTCATAATAAATGTTATTTGTCCTGATTTATAGGGTATATCATATGTCTGGGATTTCAGTTTATTTTGGGAGTTATAGGTCACAAAATACAAGCAGTGAAACAATTTTAGAATGTAGTATATTTGTCTCCTATCTTTAATCGCCTCCTTGGCACTATATTATTATTTTTTTTACTTCTTTAAAACTTTTTTTTTTAAACTAGGGGGCACTAAGGGGTTATTTTTTATTTACAGGAGCTTTGATACTTGGTATCCCTGTGTAGAATACAGTACTCGCCTCAGTGATACTTTGTATCACTTTTGTAACACAGTCGGCTAGCAGTTTACAAAACACAGTGAGCTGCTGTCGGCTCAGTGACTGTCACGGCTCTGCGATCACAGCAATCAGCTCTCGCTGTGATCACAGGACTGTGACCACCTCATCTGCTGTTGGGGGTCTGCCTCAGACCCCGAGGGTCCCATGAACAGCAGTAACTCAATGAGTGCTGGTCTCTTCACGGACCAGTGCTCATTGTACAGAACGATCGTGGCAGAAAAATCCCGTCATCGGTCGTGGCATAAAACAAATTAAATCTGAAAACAAGCTCTAAATCGCTATGAAAAAACAAATACAATAGAAACAAATGCATCATCCAAATTTTTTTTAACACATCTAAAATATTGGAAATGGTGAAGCAAAATTATATATGTGAAAAAAATATGTATGTCTGTTTGCATCAAACAATATTTTTTTTTTGCTATGCACTTTAATATTTGCCCCATTTGATAACAGACATCATGAACCATATCCTTACCTGCAAAGCACTTTCTAGACAACGCTGCCATTCGTATGCATACCTTTCACTCTCCTAATAACAAAGTAATGCAATTATTATGTAGGCTTTAGAGCTATAGAACAAATTCAAATTGAACACAAATGCAAAATATAAAGTAAAAGGACATTCTACCTAAAATGTATTATTGTATTAAAAGCCACCTTCTAGAGAGATATAAGCCAACATCATTTTTTATATATACAGTATGAAGTGCTCCTAAATTTCTTAACCTATAACATCCCAGTTATTGTTTTTGCCAATCGATATGGTGTCCCTTGTGAAATCACAAGGGAGACCAGACTAACTGGGAAACCACAATAATGATTAGATGGACATAAACTAATAGTGGTGATAAATGTGGGTTCACATCATGATTTTTTGCAAGTACCATGGAGCAGAATCACTTGGTCACTTACGTTTTGAGAACTTACAGATATAATAGGTGTTAGTGTTACTTGCTGTAGAGAATGCAGCAACTGGGGACTTTACTACACTATTAAAAGGATTGGGGTGTTTAACACTGTGAGAGAACTATTGAGAGCACAGAAAAAAATATCAATATATTGTAGCCACTGCTCCAAGTCCACTCCTGTAATAGACTATAACTAGGGATGCATGATACCGTTTTTTCGGTATCGAGTACCGATATTTTATTTGCGGTACTCGCCGATACAATACCGGAAGTCCCATTAAAGAAGCCAGGCGGCGTGTAATGACTCGCCACCTGGTTTCCTGATTAGGCGAGAAGCCCGGCGGCATGTAAAGACTCGCCACCCGGGTTCCCGATTAGCATGGAAGCCGTCTCCATGCGCCCTTGTCACTAAGTGAGGAGGAAGCATGGAGCCGGCTTTCTGGCCAATCAGGAAGCCGGGCGCTGTGTAATGACTCGTTGCCCAGCTTCTTGATTGGTCGAAGCTGGCCAAATCAGGAAGCTAGGCGGAGTGTCATTATACGCTGTCCGGCTTCCTGATTGGCCAGGGAGCTGGCTCCATGCTCCCTCGTTACCAACTGGCGAGGGAACATGGAACCAGCTGCCCGGACAATCCGGTCATTACACGCTGCCTGGCTTCCTGATACCGGAAGCACAGGCATACTCGGCATCGTCACGGATACTAGTATCAGTATCGGTGCATCCCTAACTATATCAATACAAATTAGTAATGAGAATATAGTCTATTATAGGAGTAAACTTGGAGTAGTGGCTACCTTACAACACAAGAAAGGACAGGGTCAGCACCAATTCAGAGATGATTTGAGGATCTACAGCTGAGTGATACACAAATAAGATACATTTTTGTTATTAGTTAAGGTACTTGAATGCATTTTTAAGATTTATCTTCTGAATTTAGTGTTACTTTAAGATGCACCCATTTGGCTGTGTAGAAGGGACCTGAAGGTTCTGTATATATTGGCTGCAAGGGTTCCTGCTTATTCAATAAAATGTAATTTTGTAAACACATGGGAATAGTGTTCAGAAAACATTTGTAAATTGACACAGTGAGGTAAGAAGGGAGCAGGAATACCTTGAGAAAAAACTAGTATTCATTAAACTTTTACTTTACTTGGAAAACCATGCAGTACTATTATACTTGCATTGGCAGGTTTAAGCATGCCATAGTTTTTGTTTACCTAATCAGCTGTAATCCTACATTATTTGCAATGTAATACATTAAAAAATGTACCCTAAAATGTAACATGGTTTTCATCAATTCATAAAGTAGGTGAACTATAGAACGACCAAATGGGTTTTTAATCAAGGGGCAAACGACAATGACCAAACCCTAGAAGCATTTAACAAAAACAGAAATGTCCTTTTGTGCCAGATACATACTGGTCTAGAGCTGTATCAGTCCCAAAAGATGCATACAATTTTACTGTACAAGTCAACATACAACCTTACCTCTACTTCTCCTGTGAGATCCTTGTACTTGTCTCTAATCACAGGTAAGGCAGGCTTCTCAGTAACAGTGTGAGACCTGTCTCTGAATGCTGGCTCTGCAGCGGGAGGAGTTCGAGTGATTTCTTTATCCCCAAGGCTAAGGCTTCTCTTATGAGATCCTGTGGAAGCACACAATTCAGATTGCTCCAGAATCAAAGGAATCTTACTATGTACTTTAAGAAGCAAGGCCTTCTCAAAACTGGGCACACACAACTATTGCAGAAACCTTTATTTAAAAGGCAAATTGTCATTCTGAAAGCAGTCCCATAATTCAATACAAAATACAAGTTTCATACCCTTTAAAATATATGTTTCCCTTGTTTTGTAGATGTTGGAGAAAAATACAGATTTGCCATTACTATGTCAATAGCCTAGCTGTAATACTGATCCAATTAATTTTCTAAAAGACAAACAGGCTGTTCACTTTGCAAGGGAATTTAAACTTTGCAAGGACATTTTCTTTTTAGCTTAGTGAATGAGGTGAAACTCTGCTCACTTCCATTATCCAATTGTGCAAGCAAAAACAATGTTTTTTTTTTTCCTAATTATTAAGGGCCTGTTTACACAGTCAGGGTTATTCACAAAAGGGTGAAGAGTTTGGAGAAGGCAGGAGAAGTGAACAATCTAGGACAGGGGTGCCCACAGTTTGTGTTAAGATCTACTTTTCAAATTACGAGCTACATGAGATCTACCAACGAAAAAAAACCTCCCTTGCTCTCTCTCTCCTGTCCGTCTCTCCTTGCTCATCCTCCTGGCTGTCTCTCCTCTCCTGTCTCTCCTTGCTCATCCTCCTGGCTGTCTCTCCTCTCCTTTCTCTCCTTGCTCTTTCTCCTGGCTGTCTCTCCTTGCTCTTTCTCCTGGCTGTCTCTCCTTGCTCATCCTCCTGGCTGTCTCTCCTTGCTCATCCTCCTGGCTGTCTCTCCTCTCTCTTGCTCTCCTATATTTTGCAAACAGTGCAGTGCAACAGGCTGTGTAAACTAATATTCTTTAATGTAATACATAGCACTTCAACCACCAGTATCCACCAGAAAGGTGTCAGGGAGCTCGGCTCAGCAGACTCAGGCTAATAGGTAATCATGTGTGCACAGCTAAATAAATATACTAAAATGGAACAAAGGGGCCACCATTCACACCCTTCGTGATCTACCAGCATCAGCTTTGAGAGCTATTGGTAGATCACGATCTATCTAATGGGCACCCCTGATCTAGGACAACATCAGCTGTGTTAGATTGTTCACTTCTCCTGTCTTCTCCAAACTCTTCAGCCTTTTGTGAATAACTCCGTATATGTGCCCAATACATTCCCTATTCACTGACCAGGCAAATTGCTCTATGTCCTTTTAGATTGTAAGCCCTCACGGGCAGGGCCCAACTTACCATCTTGTCTTGAATTGTATTGTGATTGTATTGTCTTCCTTATATTTTAAAACGCTGTGCAAACTGTTGGAGCTATATAAATCCTGTATAATAATAATAATGTCCTATTAGTTCAGTTGACACCACTGTGCTGCAGTGGCGTGCACTGAAAAAAATTGGTCATGCAGCAGTTTGTTTGTTTTTCCTCGCGGCATTTTGTGATGCACTAAACCCACAATAGCAATGCACTGCAGTGAATAAACATGAACAAAATGCCATTATGTGTCATTTCAATAAAGTTGTAAAGAAAAAGTAAACAGCAAAATGCATTATTTACAATGAATCACCACGGTTTACTTCACTGCACATACCAGCAGCTGCAGTAGAATGAGGCCACTACTGTAAACTAGCCCTTAATAGGCTATTCATTTGTATCTTGTTTTTTTTGGCTAGAGTTCTGCTTTAATGAATACATAGTTATATTTGAAGCCAGGAATGATTGCAAGGTGATGTCATCATTGATCTCCTCAAGAACGAAAGGAAGCCAGAAGCTGATGCGCTCCACCACACTCAAAACAGTAGTTTTGCGTAGATTGACTCTATAAAAGACCAGCAAAAGTTTCTGAAACATTAACTTTAGACGTATTCACTATAACCAGTGAGAAAGTTGACATCCTGCTTTTTCTGATGTGAAACATGAAAACACAGAAAAATGTTGGTCTATGCAAAGCTTTCATAATTAGCTGCATGTACAACAAACAGAATTTTAGATTTCTACTATAGGGTGAATCCTGTTTGATTTGATTTCTGGCATTGAACGAATAGGACTGGCTTCTACATCTACCTGGTCTGGGCATGGGTTAGCTTTTTATGTCAATTGATTGGTCATATAGTGGTCCTTACTGGAATACCATATGAATTGGGATTCATGTGCCCAGGTGGTGGATGGTGTATGAAGATAGACCCTCCTTACCATCTTGTCTTGGGACTGTAATGTCTTCCTTATATTGTAAAGCGCTGCGCAAACGGTTGGCGCTATACAAGTCCTGTATTATAATAATAATCCTCCATTTGCTTCAATGTTCAATACTCAACAGCTATCTAGCATTGCCTCTATTGCATGTGTATATTTGTGCATAATAAAGAATTGGGACTAAGCTAAAGAGGACTGCAGTGAAGCAAGGTGGGATACCCTGATGGATCTTTATAGCTGTAACCCTGGTGTGGCAATACCCTACAAGGTGTAGTAGTGCCACCCAGACCAGCAAAAATATGGATGTCTATATGTATGTGTTGTTCCCTTTGGAGAGATGTAAAAACAGGGAAGAGTTTGCACATGGACAATTCCCAATCCAATCACTCTGTGGCATGTGGGATTTGAGACTTCTACCAGCAGGATGTTCTAAGATTTTAAAAAGAGGGACAGGCTTACCTTGAGCACAGAGATCCAATGTTTCAAGCTCTGTCTTAATCATTTCTTCACTTGATTTCATTTTTCCTTGAGCATTGGCCAACAGAAAGTCAAATTTACTGATTTTGGGCTTCTCCCTTTGAAATTCACCAAAATCATCTATATTCTTCACCTCTAAAGCAACACTAGAGGAAGACAACTCATGATTTTCTTCACTGTGCCCCAAAGAAATAGAAGAAATATCCTCAAGGCCACTGGAGAACATGTCACTTGCTTTTTCAACATGTGCTTTAGGGCTTGCACTAAATGCCAAGTTGTCGTCTGGTGCATGGATGTCATTGGAGAATGTAGTTATTTTTGATATAGTTGTCATGGTAAGATTTTCAGTACTTCCAAATGATGTTTCTTTCTTGGAGAACACGGATGTTGAAGAGCCAGCAGAGTACTCAGTGCTAAAAAAAAAGTCTGTCTGTTTTTTGTCCACTTGTGCGGTGTCCTTCTCTGACCAGTCAGATATTGTCAAACTGCTCAGTAGGGAGGAATGGTCATTCGTGCCTTTAAAATCATCTACATGCAAAATGACAAAGAATAACCCATATGTAGGATTCTGGAAACACTGTAAAAACCACCACCATGCAAAAACAGAACAATCACAGGAACACGAATCTCCCACACAATTGTCAAATTCTAAACAAGGCATGTTATTAAAATTTTAATTTCTATGCTGCAGCCATTAATTCTTTCCTATAATTGACAGTTGTACCAAGTAACACTAAATCCTCATACAGTGTCCTCTAATTGGCTCATTCCATCTCCTCCAGAAGACGAGGCATCGCATGCAGCTCCTTGTATTTCATATAGCAAATCAATATAGTGCCCCCTTCTAATTTAATTTCTTATAGTTTCTGGGTCCTGACTATCTGATTTTATAGCTGCATCCTGCCAATTGCCAGTCCATTGCACAATGAGGCAGACTCAAAAGAGAACTATGGGGTAAGTGTTTTTGCACATAGTTCTCCTAAGGGTTCCAGCTCGCGGTATACCGAGACCGCTGCAGCTGGGACGTGATCCCGACATTACTGTCGAGATCCACCCAGCTGTGAGAGTGACAGCGGGCTCTGCCTATCTAGAGGCAGAGCCAGCTGTACCCACCCCCTCCCCCGTACATTCCTCCAGTCAGCGCTGGAAGATCGGAGTGGGGAAGGGGGGGAATCCCTGCAGGATTGACAGTCACATCCTGACAGTCACAGCTCTTTGCAGGGAGATGGTCGAGAAGTGAGTGAGCGACGGTATGTGTTCGCTCGCTTCCCGATCTATTGAGCCGACGTGTGACAGTTTCATTGTCACACGTCAGCTTGAACTATGAGGATGAGTGATTTTCACTCACCTCATAATTCTCTTTTAATGGCTAGCACAGGCACTCTCATTGGACAGATGGACAGCATTTGGTGGTGTCTAAAAGTCAGGAAAAGTCATGTCCCAGAAAAAAGTGAAATTAAAATCAGATGAACACAATAATCGGCACAGGATAAAAATCAGAGGAACACAGTTTCTCTGGCTGGTAACAGGTTTCTTGTGTTGTCTGCTAGGCTAGAGACTTTAAAGTGACACTAAACTGTCACTTTAAACTGTGAAACTGTCCTTCCTTGGCTAATTTTATCCCCCCATGGTCCTTGTATGTGTTATAAAGAAGCCACCTCTCCAAGCTCACTCTCGCGATGGACTACAATCTCACATTCAGTTTATTCATTTGAATTGAGATTGTAGTCGATCACGAGAGTGTGCCTATGAGCGAGTCTTAAGAGACTCTGGGCTCTTGCCAAACGCTTCCAACTGGGTTAAAACAGAACAGAAGTTATTCGTTTTTTTTTATTCACAGTGACTAGGGGTTTTTTTTTTTTTTTTTTTACAGTTGTACAGTAACTTGCAGCCACATTTCCCTCAAATTTAATTTGGCCAAAAAGTAGTGTATGTGTTGGGGAAAGCATGCAGTTCCCAAAAAAAGAATGTGTGCTTCTTTTTTTTAGGGTTGTCATATCTGTCCTGTGTTTGTTTAACATATAAAAAAGTAACGTGCTTTAACACAGCTTATGGAGGTACAAATAAGGTTTGAGAAGCTGAAATAATTTTCACTACAGTTTTCAATTGACCAAAAAGTGTGTTCATAAATTTGATGTTTAACTAGGTATATTGTTTAAATAAATCATTAGGAATTTAGTGGGTTTCTGCAATAAAGACTCTTAAAATGTGATCTGACCTTAAAGTACTTCTCTAGAGAGACATATGGGGATACATTTCCTGATCTCCTTCTGTAAATTCGTATTGCCTTACTGTTATACCAACTCTCTGGCTTCAATGCTTTCCGAGTCACTAACCTAGAACAAGTATGCGGATCGTCACATACTTGAAGCCAGCGGGTCAGCATGAGGGTCAACCAGTATCCACAAAATGGGAAGTCAGCTGCTGGAGAGATTTCTGCTCTCTTACTATCTAGTGAGTAGTATCTAGTATCCAGGAAGATAGTGATAGTAACATCTTTCAATAGAGATACACAAACCGTAATAAACACTTTTGGTACAGTAAGGAAAGATTAGCATCTCTATGAGGATTTTATCGTTGTTTGATCCATTCTGTCTCAGTGAACCCCATTACCCTAATCTCTTGGCCTAGTGTCAGGGAGAAGACAAAAATGAAGCAAACTCTGTAGTGGAGTCACAGCAGTACAAACCTGCTCAAAGTTCTAGCCCTTCCTCCACTCTTAAAAAATGGCAAGCTTTGGATTCAATCCAAGGATGGCAGCAAATTGAACATTTTGTTTTCACTAATTCAATGAGGACACAACTAAATAAATTAGGGGTGGAGGATCATAAAAACTAACTGCATTAAAAAAATGCAAGCAATTGCTATTCAATAACTTATACCCCAATGTAAATAACAGGTTCCCATTTGCTAACTTATTAGTGGTTTATGGTGATTTTTTTGCATTAAATAAACTGACAGTACTTCAAATCTTTCTTTGATCCGATGAAAAATCATTTAATTTATGGAAATAATAAATTCAGTTTTATTTTAAAGGAGAACTATGAGATGAGTGATTTCCACTCACCTCATAGTTCTAGCCAACCTGTGACAATGAGACTGTCACAGGTCGGCTCAGTAGATCGGGAGGTGAGCGAACACATACCAGGTTCGCTCACCTCTCGATCCTGTCACGGCTCTCTGCCGTGACAGGGGGAGGGCTGGATTCCCCTCTCCGATCTGCCAGCGCTGACTGGCGGAACAGACGGGGGAGGGTACAGCTGGCTCTGCCTCTCTGTCACTCACGCAGCTGGGCGGATCCCGTCATCTACGTCAGGATCCGCTCCGGCTGCGGAGTCTCAGTATACCGCGAGCTGTAGCTCGCAGTATACTGAGCTCAGGGTAACGGGAGGACGCTAGTTTGTGTCCTCCCGTTACCCTAAGGAGAACTATGGGGAAAAACACTGACCCCATAGTTCTCCTTTAAGAGAAATCAAGCCCTTAAACTTTAGAACCTTAGAACTTTTTGGCATTAGAGACTCCTTCCCTTTCTACCAATTTTAGGTCTTATACATACACTGCTTGCGGCACATGCACAATGCAGGGCACACTCTTGGTTCCTGTAGGATTTTGAGAATAGAGTTGGGTTTCAGGGCAATGTAACTCCAGTGCACATGTGCAGGAGTTACATTACCAGTGGCCACTCAATGGCTAACAAAAAAAAAAAAGTGGTGGAAAAGTTGGCAAGGGGGCAGAGTGGCAGGTAAGTCTGTCATAATGTTAAATTATGCCATCCACATTAGGGTAAGAGATGCTAACACTTGAACAAGCTACAGTTCTATAATGAACACACAATATTTTACAATGCAATGTGGCTATAGAGGGTATTTATTTGTGCCCATTTTTATTGCACAAAATTGTTTCAGATGATTTTTTTTTTTTTTAATAGTAATCAATCTGTGTCCTTTTAGTGGAAATTACATTTTTCTTCTGTTTGAGACAAACTGTTTATGTGCACCTATGTTTTTGATCCTTTCTATGCTGCGGTGATCAACTTTGTTTGGGTCTTAGACATTCTGATTTTGTTCTGCAGAATTTCCAGGCAGTTTTGAACAGATTTTTCCCTCAATTGTTCCAACCTCTCTAGGCCTCGAGGTAGCATAACAACTCTACATAATTATACTTTATCCACCATGGGATGAGGCTTTGCCTTTGGTATGTAGTGTTTATTTATCTTCAAACAGCATGACATGTACATTTACCAAAATGTTAACCTTGTCCACAATCATTCTTTCAGTAGTGCTCTAGAATATTTAGTAATCATTAGGAAACGTGTAACCTTTTTATTTCTTAGGCCTGGCTCACACCTGGGCGTTTTACAGTGCGTTCCTACGCGCTGTAAAACGCTCAACATGTGAAAACCAATAATTGCCTATGGGCATGGTTCCCACCTGGGAGTTTTACAGTGCGTAAGAACGCGCTGAAAAACGCCCTACGCCCAAAGAAGTACAGGAGCTTCTTTGGGGCGTTTTTCCTCGCGTTTCCATTGGTATTCCCGAGTGTGGATTGGGGTTAAAAAACGAGCAGAAGAAAATACGCTCAGGTGTGAACCCAGCCTTAGAGCAGTGGTTCTTCTGTGGTAACCTCACATTAACATCACTGTTGCTCTTTTTTTATGGAAGATTCCAACAGACGATATAAAGTCCAAGACATGTCTGCAAATGGTAACCTGCCATACTAATGTTACTTGACTGTTTGCCTTCACACTGGTCTTTGTAGGATGTCCACTACTAGCAAGAGGTAAATGTTTCTGGTTTTTACCTGACAATGGGCTGGTGGAAGTTCGAAATCTTTAAAATAGTAAATTGTAATCTTGTTCAGGCTTCATTAGCTTCCACAACTCTTCCTGCTAAGGTTTTTGAACTCTATTCTGAGCAGGTCATAGTCTACTATTAATTCCAATGGTTCCCCTTTTCAAGATGTAATTATCCCGGGAATAATGACATCATCCGGATAGACACAGTTTTCATTGATGATCTTAAATTGTTTACAACCTATTGTTCAGTAAAAATAAAAACTGTGGTATATGTTGTTTTTTTTATCCGTATATCATACAGGAAGACTTTAGATTCTAACCTTTAACTGCATTTTGTTGTTATTCACTTGAAACCAATAAACCAAAAAGGTACATATGTATACTAAATTCCAGCAATGTTAACAAAAGCCATACAAGCCAGGATGCCCCTGTTCTAGGTTGTAACATATCATTATGCAAATATCTTGTTATATTACTGAAGGAATTTTACAAAAATCAACTTCTCAACCGCTGACTCTGCAATCAACATACAGACTCTGTGGCCTGTTTGCACCTGTTCCTTAACATAAATAGCCAAAAAACACAACGGTTGGCTACAGCTCAACAAATAAAAGCACGCAAACAAGGTCATAAACTCTAGTTGTTGGACCAATTATTAGAATGGGAAGAATACATTTAAAAGTAGTGTTAAACTCTCAAACTTTTTCAATAATAAATCCAGATCAAACAAATG